TGCCCCCGTTATAAGCGGGTTAGTCCTGATAGAAATGGTACCTCCACGTGGTTCAGGATGGGTAACGCAAAATCCATTTCAAAATATTGAAGTTCCGTAAATTTGAAATTAAAGAACTCTTTCCTTTATGACTCTAGTGGATTCATGTGTTTTCTTATCGATAGAATCCTCTCACTTGCGTTTTATTGTTTTCCGAAAATCCCACGGTTGAAGTTCCAAGACGATCTCTTAAAAAATCAGAATTTACTACTATGGTCCGCCATATTGCATCCGCCATCTTGAATTTCGGAATTCTAATGTTAATTTCGTAATCAGTGAGTCCAAAAACCTTTATGTTAGAAGTTTTAAAATGATCCGTTGGAAAACAGTAAAATACGCTACATGCGCCATATTGAATCCGCCATTTTTGAAAAAACCTAGGGTGATGGAGCAAAACGGGACCTGGATTCGGATTCAGGGGCTCAAAATACATACCGGAAACCTACTCCGGTCCGAGTAAATTTTTGAAAATTTTTTTTTGTAGACCTGTGTTATCAATGTTGGAGTAAAAATAAATATTTTTACCAAACGAGCTGCAAAAAAATATCAAAATTCGAAAAAGGCCTTATTATACATAATTACCCGAAAAAGAACCATGAGTATTGAAATAGTAGATAGTATACCGATCGTCGACAGTACTTCCACAGCAGCACTTGAGATCGATATTTCGGCCAAATATTTTAATATTTTAATATTTAATTAAAATTATCTGGATGACTCACAAACCATTTTAATGATACTTTATAACCCTTCATATGAAATACAAACGATACCATACCGAATATTTGTTTTATTTACCTCCGGTCATTATTTGTGGCTAAATACATGGTTAAAAAAAGAACAATTAATTACAAGTAATAGAATGACTCACAAATCTTTTCAATTGCACTTCAAAACTTTTTATACAAAATACAAACGATTTAAAAGAATAGTTTTCCAACCGGAGTTTTTTTCCGGTCAAGTACATACAAATGTACATGAGTAGTAATGGGTGCTTTCCAATTGCTTAACATATCTTGACACATACGTACACAAAACAAGTTTATTGGTCGTATATTATCTAAAATATCTTGTAAGATAATATACAACCAATAAACTGGTTTTGTGTAATACAGAAACATAACTGGGAAGTACCTAATATAGAGTGCTTTTCAGTTGCGTACATTGTGTTACGCAAAACCAGTTTATTAGCTGCATATTATCTTACAAGATATTTTAGATAATATGCGACCAATAAATTGGTTTGTGTACGTGTGTGTCAAGATGGGTGTTACGTGTAGCAATAGGATTTCCAATCGGATTAATTGCAGTGATGTAAATAGTCTAGAGAGAAAGTTTCCTAGGCTAATCGGATTACCAAATCGTGTCCGTGAGAGATGGGTCGGATTAGCGGATGCAGAGGAACGTTGCGTACATACTTTTACATCATAGAAGCTGTGGTGAAAGGGCCAATAGGACCAAGCTTGAAACGCTATTGAGAGAGAGAGAGAGAGAGAGAGAGAGAGAGAGAGAGGGAGAGGGAGAGGGAGAGGGAGAGGGAGAGGTAGAGGGAGGGAGGGAGAGAGAGAGGGAGGGAGGGGGAGAGAGAGAGAGAGAGCGCGCGTACATACTTATGGCTCCTACACACAGGTCCGCGCGACAACCAATCAATATGTTGTTTTTTCGTAAAAGCTAGAAGGTTATTACGGAAAGCAGCACATTGATTGGCTGTCGTGCGAACTTCCGCTGCGCGGCAAGCATTAAGCTGGTGGCACATAGAAAAATTTAAGCAGTAAAACGTAAGCAGTAACCAAATTGACCAATCACAGTCATTGATTCTTCTTACGGTCTAAGAATCAACGACTGTGATTGGCTAATTTGCTTACTGCTTAAGTTTTTCTTTGTGCCACGGCCCTTACTGCGTCCTGTGTGTAGGAGCCATTACGTCTTTTAAGAAATAAATATTAAGAAATAAATAGAAAATTAAATATGTGCATTATTATTTTTATTATAATTAACATGTATTCTTTTGCAGATGTATATAGATAAATAAAGGTTAATTTATATTTTACTGATATGTGTATATTAAAGAAATAAATACATCTTAACCTAAAGTCATGTATATATGCATACCAAATTGACTCTGTTTAAACGTTCCTTTCTCATTTATTTCCATAATTCCTTAACTCTGAAAATATTTTATATTTTAATAAACTTATATGTTAACGATTGAGGCACATTTAGGTTAAGATGTATTTATTTCTTTAATATACACATATCAGTAAAATAGAAATAAATTTTTATTTATTTATATACATCTGCAGAAGAATGTAACGCTATTTCGCGTTCCGTGCGGGATCAGCTGCGAGTCGGTGTGGTCCGGATTCGAGCAGATGTCAATAATCGTGAAGACAGTGGGATGGATAGTATAATAATATATATTGTCGATTAGATGGCTATTTACAATGCGTATGTACAGGTTGAGTC